TTGAGCCTTTAAGAATCTTTTAAAGACCTATTAGGATTTAAAGACCAGTCCTCATCTGTCTTTCAGGTGAGGACTGATTCCTATACACAAAACCCCCTTCTAAAAATACCCCTACAAGAGTTTTTATTCTAGTTTTAAAAGGTCTATTTACTGACAGCAATTAGTATTCATGATGCCTTTCAGGATTAGAGAAGGGCATTTTCAACTTCTGCAAATATTCTCACTTTTCTAATTTCCCTCATGTGTTTCAGTCTGCAGGTATTTGGTTCCAGGTTTATGGTTTGTATGCCTTTAAGCCACAGGATACAGTCCTGTGTGCATTGCTCATGTAAATGTCATGCTGCATGTAAAGTGACAAGAATTTCACCATACTTTGGCATGTGGTGAAGCATTAATTAAGGGATATACATACAAATGAGTTGAGGAAAAACATTTTGCTGTCAGGTAGTTTGGGAAATGACCATAATGAACATTGTTGGCATTTTTGTGACCTATAAATGCGATATAAAGCTTTACCCCAAAATATACTGAGGTCAGCAGCAGCAAAGCATTAACTAATGGGTAATTAAACTACTGGCAAAATGAATCATACTAAAGCTTCAGAAGAATAAATTACTATTTACTGATGTAGAATAGATTATATGATTATTGCAAGCCACAGCATATGAGAATGTAATATCATTCATAAAACACGGAATGAAATAGACCTATTTACTGCAAGTTATTATTTTGATGCACATTTGTTTTTAATTAGTGGAACAAATGTTAATGGCAAAAAACTTGGATGCCCCAGCAAGAGAAGAATATTTCTCTGTAGCAAGAGCTGGACTGGGAATTCAAAGCATTAACAATTATTTTGTATTTACTACAGCTTGCCTCCATATAAGAGTTTGTGCCCTTTGGAATGTTGTGACGCTTTCTAATGCTCTTTAACTGTTCTTGTCAAAATTTTGGCGACTCTGATTTAAATGAAATATGTATAGAACACCAACAGGGAAATGATGAAACAGGCGGACTCTGTTGGGTTGGATAATACCTCCTCAGATGCAAGTCTTTGCCTTGCAATTAAGTGTAAACTCTTCCCTGGAGTAAGCATCATATTTCTTAATCACCTCTGGGTCTCCAGCATTAGTAAATTTTCAAAAGTTTTCAAAAATTCAGAAACTGGAGAAATTTGAGTACCTGTTCCATCTTCCATGCATCTTCTCTTCCCTCTAATTTTCATCTCTGATATATTTTTTTAGGCTCACTAACATAATGCTTTGGTTTCCGTCTCTATAGCCATCCAAACTCAGCAGATTAACCCCATGTATAGGTTTAGAACTGATCTTGAATTTTAAGATTGATGTAAGAATGTGATAAAAACTTGTAACAAATACTTAAAAATTTACATGCTTTAAATTGAAACATGGTTATTGTGGTTCTACTTTCCGATGATCCATCCAATTTTGTTTTCAGTTTCTATCACCAGGTATTAAGGCCTTGAATACAGTTGTTCCAGTTGTCCAGATCACAGTCTTCAATGTCTGTTTCAAAGACATTTGTTGCTGGTAATAATTCCCACCTTATTATGATTGGATCAGTTCCTTGCCTTATCTTTCTTGTCTAGACTGTGAACTCTCTAAGAGCAACAGATGCATGAGCTCTCTCTAACTGGGAAATATGGGTCAGAAACTTACCAAATCCATTTCTTATGTCTGGTCCACTTTGTAGATCTTCACATTTAGGTCAGACAATGAAACAGATTTTTTTTTTAAAGCAACAAACTTCTTTTAATTTATTCATAAGTGGTCTGTGGCTACCATAAAAATCTAAACTACATAGCAATGGCAAGCATTTGGTGACAGACTTCAAAGAAACAGATATTGAAGGCTGGAAATATGTCAATTCATATAATGCACTGACAGCACAAGTTGAAAGATCTGCCATATTGGGAGGCAGACCATATGCCTGTTCAGCCAATGGGTCTATGGGAAGTAAATTAAAATAATGAACTGTTAGTGTATGTGGCTGGTATTAATTGATGTTGGAAAATATATAGGTAACCTCAGGAAAGACTTGACCAACCTGAAAACACAAATAAATGAAATAGAGAAAAATCCAGAAAAAAGGTCTTTGAAGAGTTGGAAAAGTTGACTGTTTCTAGCTCAGCTAAGATTTGGAGATAAGATTTGATAGCAAATATGACTGAGAAAAGCTGGTGAGACACAGAATTCTATTGAAAATAATCTTCCTTGCCCTAACCGGTTTGGCTCAGTGGATAGAGCATCAGCCTGTGGACTGAAAGGTGCCAGGTTCGATTCCAGCAAGGGCATGTACCTTGGTTGTGGGCATATTCCCAGTAGGAGGTGTGCAAGAGGCAGCTGATCGATGTTTCTCTCTCATCGATGTTTCTAACTCTCTATCCCTCTCTCTTCAATAAATAAAATAAAATAATCTTCCGAGCCAAATCTGGTAGCCTCAAGGAAGCAGCAATTAAGGTTGGATTGGCCTGTTGGCAGAAAAGCAAATTAACACATCTCATTTGGGAACTATATCCATGAAATGACTTTGAGTATGTTTGTTGTACTTCATACTAATTAGAATAAGAAAACAATATGCCAGGACTAAAATTCTCTTACTAAACTTTAAATCAACTATTGGAACGTTAGCTTTCAATGAGCAGAAAGTAGGTTTTGGAAGTTTTTCACTTCCAGGGTGGGCAGAATTTCCAAAGTTTATTTTAAGTATGGCAATGGAGGATTTTGACATGGAAGAACCATGTCTCCAACTCAGAAGCCGAGGGATCAAAAGAACCATAGATGAAGATGTCCTTTCCAAAGCACAGAATCAGGTTTGTCCAGTAGAATTTTAGAATTGCTATATACCAATAACTGCTCTGTGGTTTCCAGTTTTTTCCCTTTTCTGAATGGGAAGGTTTACTGCAGTTACATTATCTCTGTTCTACCACTAAGCAGACAATGTCAGAGGGAAGCCAATAATTTCTTTTTTTTTAATTTGTTTTTTTTTGTTGTTGTTGTTCATTAGTCACCAGACCATGAGAAGCAATAGGAGGCAAGTTGAAAAGGACTTTGCATCATCAAGAGTCCTTGAACTTTCAACTGATTGCAATAAATGCTTAGGACTGAGTTTTCCTTGGGTGTAGATGAGTATGGGATAAAAAGCTAAAGAGATATTTCTTGACTATAAAGAAGGATTGTGGTGGAGATAATGGTATATGTTCACCAAACCCATCTCTTTTTCTTTTTGGGCATGTTGGTGGGCTAATTTTTCTAGCCAACTTGCAATGGATAAAGCTTTATGACTGGCTGCTGTTAAAGGAATATGGGCAGAAGTGTTATTTACAGCTGCTATTTCTACACCACAAAAATCACCCCTGAACAATTGTTTATTCTCTTCCTGTTGTAGGTCATCCTTTGAGTTTATGTGTTCAAGATGGTGGTATCATAAAATGGAAGGAGCCAAGATTGTGAAGCAGAGCCCTCCCAACCCCCATCACCATGTGATTAGATTATGGCATATGCAATTGATAAGCTTTTATTAAATGACTGAAACTTTAAGTTTTTTTAGCCTACCCTAAATATTACACACAATATTTTCAACTTTTGTTTTTTTCACAATATATTGCTCTTGGATTTACTTTGTATTTTTTTTTAATACAAGCCTTTCCATTCTCTTTAATCTATGCTTTAACCAGTATGATAATCTATTTTTAATCTATTTTGGTTTCCTTAGATTGATTTCATAAATTACTAAATTGAATATTTGGCTCATTTATTTTATTCTTTTTTTTTTGTTCAAAGTAAGTAAAAACATTTAAAAGTATTAATTTTACTCTGAGTACATTTTACTCCGGTTCTCTGAGTACAGCTTTGGCTACATCCCATAAATTTTGACATATTATTTTATTTTATCATTTTCTGTTCGTCATTATTTTACAAAGACCTTTCAATTGTTGAAGTTTTGTTCCTCATTAATACAAGAGTTTTGGAGAATGATTTTACATCTCCATGTGGTTAAGCTATTGGTTTTAAATAGTGCTCTTCTGCTCATAGCTGAGAAATTTTGAATAAGTTTCTTAACTTTTCTGAAATTCTCTTACCTCATGGTGTTGTTGAGGGTATTAAATGAGAAACTGCAGGCAAAATCATTAACACCATGTCTATTTAATCACAATAACTGAGTAAATAGTAGTGAATGCCATTAAATTTGCTTCTGTTGTAATATTCTAAAGATAGTAATTGTGCCTATGGAGGGAGAGTGGCCTTCGTGTTATCTATTGGTGTGTAACAAACCAATCCAAAACTTGGTGGCCTAAAATAACAACAACATTTATTTTGCTTACAAATTTAATATTTTGGCAGGCCTATTAGGGTAGCTCATTTCTGCTCCATTCAGCATCAGCTGGGGCATCACAAAGTCAAAGGGCTGGAATCATCAGAAGATTCACTCATTCATGTATCTAGTGTGGCTAATTACTCTAACTGTTGATTTAGACCTTAGCTGGTGCTGTTGACCATAAACCAACTAGTGTCTTCCTTATGTGACCTGAGCTTTCTCACAACGTGGTGGTTGAATTCCAAGGGTGACACACAGAGAGAATAAGAGAGAGAAAGGGAGAGAAGTGGAAGCAGTATTGATTTTTCTAATCAATCCATGGAAATCATGCAGTTTCTCTCCTTCACTCTCTTCTTCTATGTTCTATTTGTTAAAAGCACATGCTAAGGAGGTCTATATTCAGGGAAGGAGCATCAACATAAGATTGTAAGACTACATCGGGTGAGATAATCATCTTTGGAACATGTATCTACCGCACTGGATTTATCGTTAATTGTCATTTTCATTTATATCCCCTACTGTGATAGATGGTGAAAATTCAGTCAGTCTCTGATTTGGATATTGGGTCTAAGTCTTTATGATTATTATGTTTGTTATTATTATTTATGTTTATTATTATTTTATGTTTATCGTGATTATTTCTTCTGAATCTTCATAGATATTTTAATAGGAATATTAGAAAAGCTGGATATAACACTGTTCATCACTTGGACCGTATGATGACATGGACCATACTGGATCACTTTTGAACCTTTACCCTGATGCTAAAATACAGATCTCATCGGGAAATATCACCAAATCAATGTGACCTAAATTTGGTGAAATAATGAAGATATACTTCCTTGTGGGTAATAATTCCTTTCCCATTTTAATTTAGCAGCCTGCCACTGCTTTGTTCATGGCTATAACTTTTAAGGATGGTAGAATCTGGGCCCTGGGCTGGAAATGTCGTGGAGGTTGGAGTAGTGATCTATGCTTTGAGCAGCCAAATCTAAATCAACCTTTGAAATATTACTTGGGTTGGCAAGCTGCAGCCTGGACCAAGGACATTGCTGCAAGCCAAAAACTTTTGGAACAGTAGATAAAGCTCTGACATTCACACCAGCTGTGACTTTGATTAAGACACTCTTCTTGCTTTTCTGGATATTTGCCTTCCCCTTCTGGCCAGAGCCCCTTACACGCCTTCAGAACAGGAGAGACAGAGAGGGCTGATGAAATAAGCTCTTGCTCACTAGCTTTATTAACAACTAAGTAGCATTACATGATGAGTTGTCAGAGTCTAGATCACCTGTAGAATCTGGAGCATGTTCAACCCAACAAGAAAAGCCCAGTAAAGAAGCTCTTTAACAGCATGAGGTTAGAACCATATTTGCTAATAATGATAGTTAATATTTGTTGGATACGTAGTATAGTCCAGGTTCTATGCTAAACATTTTACATTTATTACATGTGATTTTCTTAAACAGGTGAAAAGATGGATGTTTTATTACCCTCATTTTAGGGGTATGGAAACTGAGGCTCAATAAATTAAACAACTTATTCAAGTTCACCCAGCTGAGTGACCAAGAAGAAATTCAAACTAGAGTCTTTCTTATTCCAAAGTCTAGACTTGAAAACACTTCATTATATAGTACTGCAGATATGATGGAGACCTGGTTCAACTCCACTGTTTTTATGATGAAGTCATTTAGGCCCAGAGGCAGTATGACCTTCCTAGGGTCACAAATCTAATTAATCATTTAGTCAGACCTCTAGGTACCGTGTTGAAATACTTTGTGGTTCTCCTCACACCATAACACTCTTTAGATTTTTAACTCCACTTACAGTAGTTATATCCCTAATAAGGAGCTACATCCCTAATAAATTACCAGGCCATAATCTAGATAATTAAATATTAGAGATATATTTCTGAATTTATGTTTTGTCAATACTTGAGTTCTTATAAAATTATTGCTTAGTAAAAAAATATAACAAATAATGGCAACACCTCTGCTTGTCTATTTCACAGAGATATCTTCAATATCGATGAAATACAGTCTGCAAAGTAAACAGTATGAAACACTAAACATTATTTAGATAAACTACTAGATGCCCATGTCACTGCTGTGTTTGTGACTGAGATCATTTCTGGCTACCAGCTGACCACAGTGCAAAAATCCAACAACCACAAGACACTCCCCTCCCACTTACCCAAAGTGGTTCTTCCTTTTCTGGTTAAGCAGTTAGAGTAGCGTAGAGTGTTGTGGTTGTTGGATTTCTATACTGAGGGTAGCAGAGAGCAAAGAAATGATCGTTGTCACAAATTCAGCAATAGAACAAGCTTTACCGGCATCCTATAGCTACATCAAAGTGCTATAGGAAATAATTAAATCTTGCATTTCCCCAAGGTTTAACCAAAAGCCCATTACTACATAATGAAAATTACCAGGATAAAGCCTAAGACACTGCCATCTGCCGGTTTCCATCTAATAATAAAATAGATATATAAATCCTTTCCCATCTCACCCCAGCTTCTTGTTGACTATGGAAAGCTGGCTTCAATACATTGCTCCTGTATGTAAGCTCTGTATGTAAGAGAAAATTTTAAAAAGTAGCTGGTTGTTTCATAGTAAGTTCCCCAAGATTTTTTCAGACTTGAAATAATTATATGCACTTAATCTGGGGAGTGTTTTTAGAATAGGGAAGGAAATGTGGTTCTCCAACTTCATTAGAACAGTATCATGTCCTCTTCGTACATGATTTTCCCAGATCAGTTTCATAGACTGTTAGTCTTGGTCCATGTCCTTTTTCTAGTACACCTGAGAATTTCTTTAATTCAAGGCACTTGCATGAACACTTTTCTGAGAAAATAACATTAGTGCTTATTAACATGAAAGAACTGATAACAGTAACTCAGTGGTTGGTATATAACCATGACTTCTCCTAAGAAAGCAAACTCCAGATTTTCAGTGGCCAAAACACTGCCCAGGAGGGCTGGCTGGTGGTGTGGGCATCATCCTTGATGTTCTTACATCAATTCCAAGCATACTTACCCCTCATCCTAGTGATGAGAGCCAAGTTGAACCATTTACTTTGTTCTCATTGTTTTGACAGTTCGGAAATCTGTACAGTGCTTGCCAAATACCCATTTGCTTTGAGAAGAGGAAAGAAAAAAATCATGCCTTTTTCTTTCAGTCACCCTTTCTGTTTTTATGAAAAACAATTGTTTTTCTTAGTCACTTTCTTTTTTCTCTTTCTTATACAGCATAAGTGTTCTTTTCTTCAGCTTTTTTTTTCTCTACCTGACAGTCATTTCTTGTCTCATTTTGGCTATTTCTTTCCATCTCATTGTCAAACTGTCTCTCACGCTCTTGCATAATCAGTTCTGGACTTGCTTGATTATATCTATTTGCAGTTACTTCAAATATCCAATTTTGAACTTTCATTTCAGCTATGAATTAAGCAACATTAAATTAATTTCAACTATTGAAAATTCAGTCATAAACATAGGTAATGCTTTTTAAAAAAATATGTTTTTATTGATTTTAGAGAGAGAGGAAGGGTGAGGGATAGAGAGATAGAAACATCGATGAGAGAGAAACATCTGTCGGCTGCCTCCTGCATGCCCCCTACTGATGATAGAGCCTGCAACCTGGGCACGTGCCCTGACCAGGAATAGATCTGGGACCTCTTGGTTCATGGGTCAATGTTAAACCACTGAGCCACACCGGCTGGGCAGTAATGCATTCTTAATCTACATTCGCCTGTGTATTTAAACTACTTCTTAGAGGCCTGGCAATTTTGGAAGATTCATTAGCCATCTCAGGTCTATAAGGCTAGTAGGGGGCTTCTTCTTATTGTTATCTTAAGTATTATAAAAATTAGATATTTTTGAATTCATGGCGATTTTAAAGATCTACATATCAGTCAAAGTAAAAAAATGTTAAAGAGACAAAATGTTAAAGGTAGCTACTCTCTACCTTTGCCTAAAATATAACCCTTTACAAAATCTGAAAGTGGTGGTTGTATTTATTTTATGACAAAAGAAATCTGAGAAGATGAGTTAGGCATTGTCCTACAAATGGTTAGTTGGAAAAGCAAGCTTCTCAAATCCCAAGTTGGGAAAGGTCCGGACTATGGAAGCAAAGGGTGAAATGTGAGGAGAGATGGGTATTTCCTACTGGCTGGGTTTGATAGGCTTTCATTTTTAGAGTTCCTATAACCTCATATTTATTTTTCCCCCATTGGAGCCCAGGCCTCTGGCCCCTGGAAATTGTTTTTCATAAAGACAGGAAAGGTGACTGAAAGAAAAAGGCATGATTTTTTTCTTTCTTCTTCTCAAAGCAAATGGGTATTTGGCAAGCACTGTACAGATTTCCGAACTGTCAAAACAATGAGAACAAAGTAAATGGTTCAACTTGGCTCTCATCACTAGGATGAGGGGCAAGTATGCTTGGAATTGATGTAAGAACATCAAGGATGATGCCCACACCACCAGCCAGCCCTCCTGGGCAGTGTTTTGGCCACTGAAAATCTGGAGTTTGCTTTCTTAGGAGAAGTCATGGTTATATACCAACCACTGAGTTACTGTTATCAGTTCTTTCATGTTAATAAGCACTAATGTTATTTTCTCAGAAAAGTGTTCATGCAAGTGCCTTGAATTAAAGAAATTCTCAGGTGTACTAGAAAAAGGACATGGACCAAGACTAACAGTCTATGAAACTGATCTGGGAAGTGCCATTCGAAGCTGAAATTCTGAATCCCCTTTTCACAGGAATAGTTCAGTATGGCAGTTCACTTTTACAAAATTTTCAGGACAGGATTTGCTTCAGCCTCTTTAGCTATCTGATTGTCTCCAGGGAAAATGCAAACTGTGTCCTAAATAAATAACTTGCAACCTGAACTCTTAGAACATGGTCCATGTGGAAGCTAGAGGGTGCCTTTATGCTTAGAAATATCAAAGAAATCCTTGTTGGCTTCTCGGCAAGCTCTCTGGAAAATCATAACACTTTGTAGAAACCCAAGCAGAAGTCAGCAGGAAGCCTGAAGGCACGCATTGTTGAACTTTTGAACCTGAAACAGCATCAGTTTTCTGAGTTCTGTTTGTTGACTTCTCTTTGATCTCATCTTATTAGAAAGATAATACCCTAACGCTTTAGCATATTTAAAATAAACTGCTTCTATAATCCTCTAGGGAGCTCAGCTTAACATTAGCCTTTTCCAATCTCCGAAGCTCTTTACCACAGTGTGTACTCACCTTCATAGAAATTAGGTAGTTCTCACTAACAGGGAGTTTACTTTTCGGAATACACTCTTGAGAGTGATATTTATATTTACTTTCATCATTTGAACATGTACCTTTTTCTAATTGTGTGATTACCTTTGAAAGGTTAGTAATAAAGCTAAAAGGACCAAAAGGAGTAGGAACCCTATCTATGGTGATGGTGGTGGTGAAGGCTGCCTTTGGCTATTTTGCAATTTGGACAGGGCCTTACATTCAAAAAGGGTCTCAAATTTACAACACTTTCTATAATCTCAAAGCAGGAAAGAATATGCAGCTACATGCATAAAATAAAGGATAGAAAGATGATCATTTTGCACTTCAAACTTGTGTTTGTTACTGAACAATCTCAAAGCAGCACACTATCAACTGATATTTATTTCAAATTACTCATCCTTTAATTATCTTGCAAATAGCAACATATGTTGCATTGTAATATTTATTTTAAAAGCCCATGGACACAGACAATGATGTGGTGAAGGCCTGGGGTGGAGCAGGAGCTAGCTAGCTGGATGGGGGGACAAAGGCAGGAAAATGGGGAACATCTGTAATACTCTGAAAAATAAAAGTAAATTAAAAAAACAAAATAAACAAAAGCATATTTTAATGTAAATATTGAAAACCAAATTGCAGTAGTGGATAGTATTAGTAGCATTTCTGTAACTCATTTTTCCCCTCACACTTCCAGATATCGCCCAGATTTTCTTTGGTTCAATTCATTGCACCTCTGCCCACTCCACCCTCAATCCAGGAATGGCTGCAGTTGGCCTGAACGAGTCAGCATGATTCATTCTTTTTTAAAAAACAACAACAACATATATTTTTATTGATTTCAGAGAGAAAAGGAGAGGGGAAGAGAGAGATAGAGACATCAATGATGGGAGAGAATCATCGATAGGCTGCTTCTTGCATTACCCGCCCCCCCTTCCGCCCCCACTTCCGCAATCAAGCTTGCAACCCCAGGCACGTGCCCTTGACCGGAATCAAATCCATGGTCTGCAGGCCAATGTTCCATCCACTGAACCAAAACAGCTAGGGCAGCATGATTCATTCGTGTAGTCATAGTCACTGGTGCAGGGATAGACAAGACTTCTGTGGTCCATGTTGATTGAGTTCCAGGACTCTTCCTGGAAGAGCTGTTAGATTCCTTCTCCTAAGAGATGTGAAATACTTGAAAGCCTGAGCTGAGAAGAGTTGCCCAATTCAGGAATGTGTAAGGGTCTAAGAGTTTGTGATATTGAGGGCTTAGTATCACTGCCCTCTGCTTTACATTCTTAATTTGATTCCCCAAAAATGGTGTGAAATGCAGAACAATGTTAGCTGAATAGGATGTGACTGTGATGTAAAAATCTATTGTGCATTTTAATCCTTTTGAGGAGTCCACCCTAAGTATAAGTTAACTCTAAACCAGTGGTTCTCAAACAGGCCCGTTTTACCTCTAGAATCTAGAGTCTAGATGACATTTGGCAATGTTTGGAGCCATTTTTTTTTTTTTTTTGTTATTAAAACTGCAGGAGAGATACTTCTGGCATCTAAGCGGGAGAGGCCAGGAAAGGTATTAAACATCCTACAGTGTTCTAGGCGGCCCCCACAATAAAGACTTATCCAGCCTAGAATGTTAATAGTGGCAAGTTTGACAAACCCTGCTGTAACCATGCAAAGTAGCAAATGAAATTGATGGTCTAGCTGTTGCCCTTTCACTCTTGTTCAGTCTTTTATTTTCTGTCTCTTAAGTGTACTGGGTAAGCTGGGTTATTTATGGTTATTTTAGAACTTCCTGGTTTAGGTTTGATTTTTCTTTGTTATGGGAAAAAGTGGATAATTCTAAAAATGGACATATTTTGTTCTATGTTACAATTAGGCCATTAACAAAAATAATCTCTAAGCAAGGGTGACTGTATTATCCTTAGCTACTTCTCTCCCTTTCTCTCTTTTAACCAAGTTTCTAAACAATGAGTGCTTATGAGACACTACTCATTTTTTGGTTTGTTTCTTTTTTTGAAAGATTCAAAGTTGTGTAAGATTTTTTTTTTTTTTTTTTTTTTTTTTTTTTTTTTGCTTTCTAGGAACTCAAAATCTAATTGTTCACATGGGAAAACATTCAGATTTCTTTAGTACAAGGGAGTGCCTGTATCTACAATAATGACATCACCAGAATCCTATCCAAATGTACACTAAAGAGGATACACTTGGAATCCAGGTGCAATTTACAGTTTACTTACTCCCAGGGTAAATGCTGCTGGGCAAAGATGGCTACTGTAAAGGGTCACTCCCAGCTGGTCCCTTTCCTCTGGTGACATCTCTAAGACAGCTGACTTCCTCTGTGCTTTTAGGGGCTTAGAGGCAGCTGGCTGGGGGGAGGCTGCCAGCTTTAATCATTCACCTTCCCCTGTGCAAAGACAGCGAGGAGAAAACGCAGCTGAACAAGGCTGAGAGGGCATGAAATTGCGTTAAGCAACACTCATGACAATGACTGGATTTGCTATTTTAGAGTAAGTGACTAAATGTTTTTTTTGCAATTGTAATTTTCCTGTGCTGTTAAGTGTAAAGGTGACCGCTCTGTGGTGGGCTCTCAGCAGTTTGTACTCGACAGCTAATCAGGTTGATTCATTTGGTGAGGTGGGCAGTAAGCTCAGTTATAAAGCAACATTGAGTTCCTACCTCACTGAGATATAAGACCACATTTTTTTTTTTCGTTCTTCTTTTTGAAGGAAAGAAATTGCTGTGCAGACATTTTAGGAAACGTTGGGAAGACACGGAATTTTATATTTGTAGTAGGAAATATAATCATCCATGGAGAAAACCAGTTCCCTTATTGAGTTTGCTAGCAGCCTTTTAATAAATGATTTAGGCTGCTATCACCAATGGGAGTCAGAGATTTGGTACAGACCATCCTGAGTTTATTCTAGCCTAATCCCAGTGCTGGTGGAGTGTGAAATGCATGTTTACCTCTTGCTAATTGCATCAGAGCTGACCAGGGGCCAGTCAGCAATGGCTCAGTATTACCAACTTTCCCCACAGGATGGCATCCATCAGTTAAAAACAAAATTTACAGTATTAGCAAAACTCACAAATATAGAGATGGATTAAATTTTCTATTAGGCTTTGCAATGTTTAGGGTTTATTTTGATACTCATTTTTAACTTGATCATAGTGAGTGAGGGAGTGTGGGTGTTTGCCAGGAGCCCGCACGGAACCAGAGATGGAACTTGTGGTATGTGCCAAGAGAGAAATGGACAGTTGCTAACAAATAACGCTTAGTGTTTCAGAGCCCCTGATCACCAGACAGCCATTTATGGAATTAATTTTTCCTCCTCCATCAGAAGATTAGCAACTATCAGGAGATCACATCAGAACAAGCAGAACCTCATGGCAAATTAAGGAGCGGAGTACAAGATGATTCGGGATTTTGGTTTATGATAACACTGTGAATATTTTATAGCAAGAGAATGATAAAGGATAATATTTTAGCTACATGACTGTAGAAGTCACATGGACCAACCCTGAATGTTTCTGATGGGGAAAAAACAACAACAACATTCCAGAGAAAAGGAGAAATTAATCTAAGCCAGGACTAGAACAAAGGCAGTGGTCATTTGCTATTTCCACTCAGTGGGCACTTAGCCAGTGGGAAGGAATGAGCAGGTTTGTCTTAAAGCTATGTGCTCCCAGCAAATGTATTTTCAAAATTAGATTTATGTTGTAGAATAATAAAAATAGCAAATGTTTTCTAAAGATGATTTATTCACTGTTAAGTTAAAGAGAGAGAAATGTCAATTGCACATATTAAAGAAAGTGATTATTAAAAGCATGTGGGGTAGCTGAGGGGGTGGTGGTGGGTAGAAATGGGCTATGGACACTAAGAAGCTCCCTCAGGAACTCCTCGGCATCTCCTCAGAACCCATGTCTCCTACTCCTACCCGTTGTCAGATGCTTTTCCACTGCATGAGGCTTTCTTGAACCTTTCAAAGCCCCGTGCGGTGAACAGCTGCTGCATTCCCTGGAGATGATCTCCCGTTGTCCACCTGTGAGGCTCCTTCTGAGAGCCTGCTGTCCTTTTATCCATTGCGTCTCACAGGCCTTTGATGGCTAAACTGTCAAGCACACTTCCCCATCACTTTGGAAAAAACACCCAAGTCTTCCTGGAGGAATTATTTCCTCATGAGGGAAAGCCAAGTTACAGTTCATTTTTTTCTGCTGCCAACTGCCAATTTTATTTCAGTTACCAAATGCCTTGGAGTTCAATTTTTGTTCGTGGGCAAAGGTGCTTTTCTACATGATCACCCGCATTAGGGGATCTCATGGAAAGCTGATGAGGCAAGGGTGTTGTGTTCTCCAGCTCACAGAGCTCTCGCCAATGCAGCCATTTCATTTAAAAAAGTGCAAAACAAACAAAAAGAACAAAAGCTACTAATTATAACACCTTGGTGTCTGAAGATGCCCCAGTTGCTGATAGAGCAGGCTGCCTCTGGCTTATGAAATAAGAATATTTTAAGGGGACTTGTTTAAAGTGCTGGAAACTGTAACCCATCTATGGAAATGCCAATTCATCCTGGGCCTGAAAACGTGTATTTTAACCTTTTCCTCCCAAACCATATGCCTTTGATAGGCAGAGGTCAAGTGAATCCTATACCAACCAGCATGGGAATCCTCCTCCCTCTCTCTATCTGGAAATTCATTAATTCTTGAAGAGTCTTGAAGAATGATGGTGATACAATTGGAATTTAACTTTCTATGTCTTGGTTGGAAACTGTAAAATCTTTCTATACATGGTTGTGTGTCCTATTTGTGCATTTTCGTACTGGATAAAGAAACCTGTGAATACAAGTGTTATAAATCACTTTGGAGGTCAGTGTTGTAGGATGTAAGGAAATTATAGCATTATTACGATGTACATATTGCAAAAGCAGAGAAACCTCAAATCCTTTGAGCCACCAACATTTGCTGTATTGAGAAAGCAGAATTTCACACCAGCATTTTGAAAACATGCCTAGGTACATGTGGGCATGTTCATGGCAGCTCTTAGGTTGATTATTTGCAGAGTAAAATCTCCTTGGGCCATGTCAGCAACAACTTCATCTTTCCAAGTTCAAGTTATGGTTCTTTGATGACATTCTGTTAGACAAAGAAGACAGAAAAAAAAAAATCCCAGTCTTTTTCTCTGATATTATCAATATGCAAAACCGAAGGCATAGAAAGGCGCCTTCCATCTTTGTTAGTAAACAAACAGATCAGGTACAAGTCTAACATTTCACAAGAAGGTGTGCTCTTTCTCCTCTTCTCCCCTGACTTTCTCTCCTCCAACTTGACAAGCTGATAGCAGAGGCCAATGAAAACATCCGCGTCTCTTTTAGGGTGAGAGCATTTGTGTGGCAATTGTGCGGGTGGCATTCCTGCCCTGGGGTGTCCAGCCCTGCGGTGGAAAGGATGCCTCAGTCTTGAGCTGCTCAGCCATGCTTTCCTGTGAGAGCAGCTCTGACCAGCAAGCGGCCCAATTAGAAACTGAAGAAAGCATTTCACCCTGGGGACACCAGCTAATGTTACCGACTTTGGCTTTATTAGATTGACAGGGCAGCAAGGAGAGGTGGTAGTGGCTGACAGGATGTGGAGACAGGGTTCATGTTCCCTCAGGAAGAAAGAAATGACTCTTTTTTTTTGAAAAGTTGTTGATCTTGAAAAACCTCATTCATAGATTATTTTTTTGGATTTTGTTGTTAACATTTAAATTATTTTGAGAGACATTACCCACATTTAATATCCTATAATATTTAAGGTGCCTCCAAAATTTACTTCCCAACCTATGCATTCAGGTAGGGCATTTAAATAGTTTTATTTTGGGTTTACTCGTTCACAGCCCCAGGCCCTTGACCCTCTGCAAATGTCTTTGATGATTTTTTGTTCTCAGGAGGTACTTTACACATGCTCACCAACATGTTTCCTTATAGCTGGGCATCAGGGTGCCCACCTTTTCTGCAGAGCCTTTCTCTTTCTGTCAGACATTACAATTAACCTTGTCAGTTTTCAAACTCTGTCACTGACCTAGGCTTTGCCACTGACTTACTAGATCCCTTATGGATTCTGTGTCTGATCCAAAGTGGGAAGAATCTCTCTCTTTTTTACCCCTCTTTTGGTGTACCCTACTTTGCCACTGGGGACAGAATCAGGTGTTTGATCCACATTTCAAATAGTCCCTCTTGAAAACTGATGTCATCATTTCTCTTGGGAAGGAGACTTTTGTTTTCTTTAAGCCCCTCTTGACCTTGCTCAGTCTGCTTTTGGGCCAAAAACAGATGAGAATTGACAGATAACAACACTAAATTCCAGACCGTGAAAACTCAGATGCAAGGAGAACCAGACTCCTGTAGTATATAGGCAGACTTCAGAATTAGTTGTCTTTGTATGATTTGGGGTTTGGGATAGCAGAAGAGGAAGCACACCACTTGTCCTCTTAACCTAGGTGGATCAACCATCACCTTACAGCCTTTGGACTCCTGACAAATCAAACTTGAGAGGCAAGACCAGGAGTGACAAAGACACATTTCCTCAGCTCACAGGGGTCACATTCAGGCCTGTTAGAAGGGCACAGATAATCAGCAGTTTCCAGGAACCTATTAATTTTTGCTGTACCACAAATCACCCTGAAATTAGTAACAGAAAACAACCATCATTTACTTATGTCATAATTTTGCTGGTCAACAACTTGGACTAGGCTCAGCTAGGAAGTTATTCTAACCTTAGCTGGGCTCACTCATGTTTATGTGGTCAACCGTCAGGTTGACTAGGGGCTGGGTTAACTAGGATGACCTCCGCTAATGTGGCTCATTTCTGTTCCATTTGATTGTTCATTCTTCATTGAGCTAGCCAGGGCTTACTTCCATGATGTCTGCTAGGATTTCAAAAGAAGTTGAGAAATATTCAAGACTTCTTGAGTTCCAGGCTTGGAATTGACACACCACTACTTCTACTGTATTCTGTTGACCAAGGCACATCAAAAGGCAGGTCCAAACTCAAGGGGAGGAGAAATAGTCTCCCTCTTGATGGGAGAAGGTGTGAATTCAATTACAAAGGCTTGAATTCATAGTTATTGAAGCATGTGTCATTTTTTCCAACTTATTTCAGGGCGTGTTCCAAATAGACCTATATGTATTATTTCTGTGAATTGATTTAGACAGGTTCTAAATAGAGCTACATGCATGATCTCTGTGGATTGATTTGTAAATTGAAAAACCCTCATCTTCTGTTATTTTTGTTTTGTTTGTTTGTTTTTGTTAGTGTAGCTCTGAGTATATTTCTTATCTCTTAGAGCCTAGGGGTGATTTTGCCTAGACCTCATCTTGTAATTTACTGTGTAAAGCCACAAGGCTATAGAGATATGTTCAGAAATAAATAAGAGAAAAAATAAAGACAAAAGTAATATATTTATTTTGTATACATGCAAAACAGAGGGACATGAGTAAAAGCGTTATTTAATGAAGGAAAATATAAGGGTAAAGTTATGGGACTTTCATGTCTTATCTGAGCAAAAGAAAGAGAAATAGTTATTTGTGGCTATTTGTGGGAGTATTTCCTAGTCTCTCCCAGCTTTGTTTTCTTTCCTTTTACCCCTGGAGGTTGGGGACTCTTCATGTCTTTATTATTCCACTTTACCTGTCCTGTAGACCCTCAGCTCTACATCAGGCCTATTGTCAGCTGTTTCTTATAGCTGAGTTTCCAGGCACTAATGGAGGAAGTGAGATCACTGGGCAGATTGGTGTCACTACTGAATCCTCAGCTTTGTGATAGCACCCTTTCATATGTAAGTAACTCTCTTTCCCCTTATCAACAATCCTACATTCCCACCAGTATTCTTATTCTCTTATCTCACCATTCAAAGAGAACCAATGATATCAGGTAGCATGTTCTTAACCACCTTCTCTTCACTCATAAAATAATCTGAATAAGCTCAAACTCTTCCACAGTCTAGCTCATTCAGTGTAAGAAAAGTCTCCTCTTTCCTATAACAAGCAAACAATTCAAATTTTGTTTCTGCCTCATATGAGCTGCATGATGTCACCCTGTCAGCTTTTTCATGTGTAACAGAGGCATAATTAGGTAGAGTGTGAGAATATAATGGGGCTTTCCCATTTACTGCAGTGTGCTTAATATCATATCTGGCACATAGATATCAAAAGCCATATCTATTTACAGTACTTGGGCCCTGAATTCCACCTCTCATATTTCCAGAAATTGTACTCAATGAGTTACGGTGAGCATTTTCTATATAGTCAATCTTTATCTTCCTCACTGGCTCAAGTGTACTCTGTATTTTTTCCTTCATTCTAATTTCAAGACTTTAAGTGACAAGCCATCCCTTTAGATAATGCTAGGTCAATCTCTTTTTTAAAAAGGGAAGTATATTTAAATTTTTAATTTCATGTATCCCAATCTCTTTAGGCATTTGCTTTATCTTTCTCCTTTTCTTCACAGCCATATATGTTTGATAGAGCTAGTTACATCTTTCCTTTCTAATTCTTTAACTAAGTATAAACTTATAATCTATCAGTAATATTAGTCAGCTTTTTTCCATATGGAATACTCCAAATTCAGTGACTCCCATATGTAGGGCATGAGCTTTCCCATGGCAGAAGAAAAGAGTAGGAGGCTAAGCTGCATCACAGAACTGCATGTACAATTTTTGTTTGGATCTGACAAACAACACATCAGCTCACATTTCATTGATCAAACCAAGTCATATGATTTGATTGAAGTCAGTAAGATGGGAAGTATAATTCTACCCATAGAAAATAAATAAGCAATGGGGATGGAAGTTAATGTACAATGTTCAGTAGTACAATTTATCATGTCAGTCCACTAAAATACAGTCTTGATCAGTACCTAAATGATCACCTACTTAATAAATTGCAGGGCTGGTAGTGGTGAGTACACTTGGGTTTGAGTCCTTGCTACGCCAATTATTTAGTGTAATTTTATCCTCAGTAAGTCTGTTTTCCTATTTATAAATGGGTTATAGTTTCTAGTTCATGAACAACTATTTTGGAGTGTTGAAATATTATATTTAAAGCACTTACATAAATGTTAACATTGTTCATATAAATCATTGTTATCACCAGTTCCACTATCCTGTGGCAGGGACCAATATGAGTTATTTTGAACTGACAGTTGAAAGCTGTTTCTACATTGGAAGAGAAGGGGGATGGAAGCTGAAATTCATCTTTGAGAAGGAAAGAGAGTGTTACCTTTGTTTTGAGAAGGACTGCTTTGGAGAGCCTTTTGAATGAACAGATATGAAATCTCAGACACACTGAGATGTTTGCTATCAGAATACTGTAAGATAATATAAACAAATTGTTCTTTTT